TCCTGCCCTGCGCATAAATCACCGAGTGGCTCCTGGAGCAAATCTATTGACGCTAGTGCAAGCAAACTTATTGGCGCTGGATCATACTTGTTGAAAAGGGCTAAATCGCGGTGCGTTCTCCGAGCTTGATCACTTTTTTTAGATGGTGGTCGTTTGGGAAACGGAAGGCAACATGTCAACGTCATGTCTCTACTTCTTCGTATTCTACATACTCGCGATCTGATTCGTCCCCGGTTCGTGAAACATTCCGGATGGGTTACGGACGCGTTAGTGGTAAATCGCGAGCGGTTTTTATGCTTCAGACGAGAATAACTTCTTTCAAACGCAATTTTTTGCAGGACTTAAAACGTAATCTGTGCGTCCAATATCTCTTCTTTTCAACAAGCTCAACAGAAGCTCTACAGTTTCCCTGAAGACCCATGGTTTAGAACATATTTTAGGTGGGTCACCTTGGGCGACATTCTGAGCCACTCAAAAGCTCGACTCCTTCTGTGCCATTGTAAGGATACTCATTCGCGAACTTCAATATGCCTTCAAAACACATATTCCCGTTGAACTGAGTCAAAGCATAATTTGGTTATCATCGATCGATTTGGTCCGAGTGTGCGCCGTGCATTACGCTTCTACGCAGAGGTGGTGGAAAGGTGTAAATTCTGATTTCAGGTGAATTTTGTCCATGCTTGTTTAGGGTTTGGGAAGGTCAATACGCACGAATCTGTTTGAGATGTATTATTTAGTCATCTACGTACTTACGAGTTCATGCTAACTATTGATATTGCTAATCAATGTTTCAATATTTTGTAGTCTTCCTTACATCCGGTCCTCTGCAGCTTTCCGTCAGCTTCATCAAGTTAGCGATGACACTTTTGCGCTGTTTGGTGCTCACCTGCTCACCGACCCTGCGTTTACGACCCACCCCCCCCCTTCCCAGTGGTCAGTATGACCCCCATGGGTTTCACACAACGATGATGTACCCTGCTTGGAAAGGGGTGGAATAAGTCCTCATTGCAAAGAGGTATCTTCATACTTTGCGAAAATGAGTGTATTTCATCACATCGCACGCAAGCTAAACTACCCTTGCTACTGACTCACCCCTGAGACCGACAGATACGTGGCAGTATACGTCCCACTAGGCCGCTGTTTTCATCAAACCTCACAATCAGCTATGCTCATGATTTGAGGTTTCTCATGTCATGTCTGATTATTGAGGGACTGTTTATAGTTGCTTGGTTATGATGACTGCTGTTCAAAGAAGCAGCCCTAGCTCTGAAAGTTTCCACAAGAACGCTAGGTTATGTATGGGCAAAAGTCTTGACCCCAGGCGGGACTTGAACACACCTTACGCCTTCCGAGAGAGTACGCTATCCAATACCAGGGCTTGCCCTTTTGGAGCTTGAAGAAGTGTACTGGATAGCGCACTCGACCGGAGAGTGCGATGTGCGGGTTCGAGTGCACCCTATGATCGAGACTTTTGCCTCTAACTCACTATTCATGTGATAACTCCCCGTGGTCCATGTTCGCCGGGGATGTCCGGACGTGTAAAGGGGCTGGATTTTCTCAAGATCTCCACCAACTCTTGTCGCTTGCCTACTTCAACAGCATACGCAGTAAAAATACTGTATATTCCATGTTGCGATCCACAGAGTAAAAAGCTAGGCGCAAGGTTACAGTAGTTTGTCTGCGTAC